GTTTCACTGTACATAAATAGACACGATCTTCATGGCTGTAGGTTTCACATCAACTGATATATACACACACACATGCACAAATGATAGGAATTTTCCTGAACGTGCTATCCCATTTACACATAACAAATCTCTGGGTCAGGCTCTATAATCCCTATCATACAGATAAGACAAGTAAAGCTTGAAGCACCTAAAGAGAAGCACTAGCACTCATTTAGGTCAGACTGTCAAGCTCCTTCCATCAGTGATTCTCACCCTTTTGAATACTGCATCCCTTTAATACAGCTCCTCATGTTGTGGTGAGGAATTGTAATTTTGCTACTGTTATGAATCATAATGTAAATATCTATGTTCTCTGATGATCTTAGGCGACCCCTGTGAAAGTGTCATTCAGTCCAAGAGGTCACGACCCATAGGTTAAGAATCACTTACCTTCACCTTTGTCTTCTGCATTTTTAAAATATCTTAGTGGGTACTATAAACAGTAGTTTATATAATATCTACTATGTCCTTAGTAGGTATTATAAACAGTCAATTCACATCTAGAATTTTTCATTTGTTTCCTACTGCTGCCTACTTTTCAAGGTCTTGGAAAACACCCTGCCTCAGCTTAATATATGCTCAATGACTGAGTAAGACCTACTTTTTGGTAAAGCAACTCAAAACAGAGAGGCAGTGTGTGAAAGCAGGAATTCTGGAGCAAGACTGTCTTAATCCAAGTCCCAGCTCCATAAAATAATCTAAACATGAGCAAATTACCTATTATCCTTTACCTACAGTCTGGATAAAGTAATAGTTGCTAGCTCACTGACTAGTGTTGTGATTAGCTGAATTACGTTACTTAAAGTAGTACTTACATCAGTATACACCTATAACAGAAAATTATGCTCTAAGTAAGCCACATAAAATCAAATAAATCACATAAGAGAAAAAGGAAATTCATAAAATTAAGACAAAAATTACTGTATACTACAATGATTTGGGGTTCTCAGGCTTTTTAAGTGGTCTTAAACACTGTAAAAGGAAGCCTCTACTGTTTATTAGGCTAGACTTCAGGGTACCAGAAATCAACAAAATACTACTTCTGTTCTTGAATAGCTAACTTCCCTCTGGATGACAGATGTGATTATAGTGTGTTTGGTTAGGATGATGACAGAAGCAGATGTATACAGAGCACTAGAGGGACATTATGTTCAGGGCCAAATTACCTTCAGAAAAAAAAAATCCAAAATTTATGAGCTACATATAACTTTTTAAATTTATAGTACTAAGCACATATAAGAAAATCAGTCTGGCCAGGCCATGGTGGCACACACCTTTAATCCCAGCACTTGGTAAGCAGGGGCTGAGTTCACGGCAAGCCTGATCAACAGATCAAGTGCCAGGACAGCCAGGGATACATGGAGAAACCTTATCTTGGGGGGGGGGGGGCACACAAGAAAGAAAAATAAAATCAGTCTGATGGGTGTGATGATGGTTAAAAAAAAAGCGGTTGTAAATGGGGGGGCATGGGAAGAGGAGAGGGAAGAGAAAAATTATGTAAAAGTATTTTAAATTAAAAAACAAAAAGGAAGGAAAAAAGCAATCTGCTAGTTATAATAGAGAATCTTAAAAAAGGATTCTGTCCTTAGCTTCCCATGTGTTGAAAGACACAAACACACACAAAAGCATGTCTTGGGGCTGGAAAAACAACTTAGCCATTGAGAGCAAGGACCATGCTTGTGAGAAACTGAGATGGTTCCAGCACCCACATCAAGTGGCGCAGAACTGCCTGGTACTCCAGTTTCAGAAGTGTCTGAACTGTACTGTGCATATGCATAATATTTAAAATAATAATAAAACATCAATTTAAGTAACAACAAAAGCAACAATTCAATAGATATCACAATTCAAATATGTGATTAGTCACCATGAGGAACATAGTCAACCAATGTTCAAAATAAATCCAAGGGATTCAAGACAAATTGTATGTTTCTTTTAAGCCTGCAGGCATAGGTATGTAGATATATAGATATACTACAAAAGCATTTTAAAAATAACAGTTTAGTTTTTTATTTCTATGTACATGGACCATCTTAATCTACAAAAATATATGGAAAAAAATCTTCAAAATTGTTTCAAGAGTTAAATATTTTTAATGAAAGAATGCTACTTAAGGAAATCTTACTATGAAACTATTGAAACAAATACTAAATTCATTGAAAAATAAACCTGATTTATATTATATATTTATTTATATCTAGCTTAATAAATATGAGGTCCATCTAAACCATATGATCAAACAGCATCAAGAAGTAAAGGGACTACTAGCAAGTGTGAAACTCCTGATGGGAAGTAATACTAAGCACAAGGCATCATTTACCAGGTGTTCTTGTTCTTGGACTCTTTAAAACTAGTTTACAATCAACAGCTAGTTTAAGTGGGGCAGAGAAAAGAGCCTGTACTTGATTCCACCGGAAGGAAAATTTCTGACAAACCCAGAATCTCCCTCTCTCTCTCTGAAATGTCACTTTACAAGGAGGGGTTGGGTAGTCTAAATTAGAAGAAATCAAAAGAGTTAAACAAATGTAAAGAATAATCTCTGATGAGATGCTGGTTGGGCAAGAAAGCCTGTGCACAATGGTCTAGAAGACCTTTACAGGACAATTGGAGAGATATAGATATGTATATTAGATTGCACTGAGGAGACGCCAAAGAGATGGCTCATCAGTTAAGAGCACCAGCTCTTGCAGAGAACCCAGGTTTTGTTCCCAGCACCCACATAATGGCTCACAACTACCTATAACTTTAGTTCTAGGAGATTTGATACCCTCTTTTGACCTCCACTGGCACCAGACATGCGCACATACATCTAAGTTTGTTTTTAAAGATTACACTAAGGAACTACCATGTTGAGGAAAATGAACAATAATAGTAATTTATCCATGCGAAAAAGTGCCCTTGTTTTTAGACAAAGCAAGCCAACATATCAAGGGTAAAGTGTCACACATCAAGAGATTAGCTTCAAACGGTTCACCCAAAAAGAATAGGCATTTACAAACAAAGCAAATACAGCAAACTATCAACAAATGCTGAATGGAGAAGATCAACACATGGCTGTTTAGCGCTGATAAATTTTTCTTTATGCTTAAACTGTTTTCATGCTAGAAAGCTGGAGAGAGGGGAACTAAAGGGCTTCAGTTTTCCAGACCGGGAAAGATGTAACCTAAAAGCTCAAGTGCAGAAAGCACAGTGCACTACCACAGTGCAGCACCTACTAATAAGGGTTCATCCCTTTGGCAGCATCAACTAAGGAGCAACACTCCACCTAAACTTAAATGATTCAATCTTAATATGTAATTATTTAAGATAAGCCCCTTGACAGCTAGTTCCCTCAAAACAGACAAACCAGGGGTATGACTAGGCAACCACTCTGCAATAATACCAAATTCAACCTACTTCAAATGTTTGTATTCTAACCAAACAACAAAACAGTCTGCAAGCAATTCACCTGTTAACACTGTAAATGTAACCTCTTTCCTATAGGTTATTACAAAGACAGTCAACTGGGGGCTGGAGAGATGGCACAGTGGTTAAGAGCAATGGCTGCTCTTATAGAAGACCCAGGTTCAATTCCCATCACCCACATGGCAGCTCAAAACTGTCTTTAACTCCAGTTCCAGGGGATCTGACACCCTCACACAGACATCCTCACACAGACATATACACAGGCATAATGTCGATGCACATAAAATAAAGCTAGTAAATTAAAAAAAGAACTTTGCAAAGACAATCAGTTATGAGTTTCCTTCAAGGTGTAATACACCAGTGAAATTTGCATACTATAATTGAGTATTTGTAGTTACATAAAGCTTCAATTATGAGAGAAATTTATCAGTATTTTCTTCTGTAAAGAGCCCCTGAATTGCTTACACACTACAGTATGGTACTAAAAGGAAAATTTTCTGTCATCTTATTAACTAGTTAGTAGCATTTTGCATAGATACATAAATCATGACAACAAATGATCACTTCCTGTAGCATTCTACACAATGACTTTTGACATTAAACTCTGAAATACTGCATAAGATAATACAAAATCACTAAATATTGCCACATAATCCAGCAACAAAGTTCGTAATAAGGAATTCTCGAGCAAAGAAAACCTAACTGTGAGTTCCCCGTATATTGCAACAACAAAACGCAAAACTAAAACATAACCTCAAGAAATATGAAGTCTTGTCAGGTATTTCTTTTTTTCAGTAAGCTGGCAAATTTGTGTTTTTTTACAGTTCAAACACATAAAAGGATGCTCAGAGCCACTTTTTCACAAGTAATGTCTTTGAAAACTAAAATGACTGGGGACAAGGCTGCAATCAAATACATCCAACGAGGTAAGTCATAAAGTGTAAACGCTATCTATCTAGCTGTTTAGCATTTACAACCGGGGCAAACTCTTCAGCCAACCTCATTCTCTAACGCACTTATTTTTGCAAGACGGAGAAACGCAGTCCTCAGAAACATATCTCATATGTGAACTAAGGGCTTCCTCGATGACCACTTCCATGACCTTGGGAAGTTACACCTTTATCTTGCTGAGCCTCAATTTTTCATTTTTAAAGCTGGCTGACTGCATACTCGTCTTGTGGAGCTAGGAAGATGAGACGAGTTGACATAAAAGTACAGGGAGCCAAGTGTGTGCACCTCGAGAGAGCTGGGCCCACCTCTCCAAGATAAGGGGAAGCCAGCCACCTTCATCAATAACCTACTTCACCGTCAACCCAAAGACTTTGGGGGCTAAAAGCACCTCCGTGCCAGCCTCTCTGCGATCAGCTGGTTGCAACCTTCTGGTTAGAATAAAATCCCCGCGGAGTACGAGTCTGACAGTTTCCCAGCCCACATCGCACTGACCTGGAGGCTCTGAGGTCAGCCCTAGCCTAGCAGGGCTATCCGCCACCCCCGACCCCCCTGCAGTGGAATTCCCGTCCCTGGGCCCAGCCGCACGCTGAGCCAGAAGCACTTACCGGCCGCTGGGCGGGGATCGCGGATCCGAGGGCCGAGAGGAGGCCACCGAGCTGGCCCCTCCGCCCCCGCACGGCCTGTCACCGCGCCCCCCAGGAGCGGCGCCTCACTGGGCCACGGAGGCCCGAAGGGCTGCAGCAGAAACCGGGCGCGGGCCGGGGAACCAGGCCCAATCTGCTTCACATGGGGCAGCGGGCGCGCGGCCCGGGGCCTCTTTACCGCTTCAGGATAGCTGCAGCCCCGGGCCCGCGGGGTAAGCTGGGCCGATGAGGAGGAAGCCACGGGCCCGCGTCGTCGGGGGCCGGAGAAGCAGCGAAGCGGAAGCGCCGACTCTGCCACTAGATCGTCCGCCGTGTGTAGTCTTTGTCGCCGGCTGCGCCACCCGCGAACGCCGCGCAGCCCTCGCCAGGCGATGCGGCTGAGGACAGCCGGGCCGCCACTACACAGAGACCCGTGATGTCTGGCGTAGCACGGCGGAGCACGTCACGGCGGCTCGCTCGTGTGCGCGCAACCCCTCGGCCCGCCGGGAGCGGAACCCGACGCATCCGCGCGCCCGGCGGGC